GAGGACCCTCGGCCTTCATTCCCCACTCCTCAGGGCCTGCGGAGGTCCTTCCTGCCCCGGAGACAGCCGTGCCCCAGCACAGGAGGGCCAGGCTGCCTCCTCCGCAGCTCGCTGACAGAGAAGTCACCCAGGTAGGGCCCTGCTCACCCCACTGCCGGGCACCCCGTGCCAGGCACCCCAGCCTCTTGTAGACGACACACTCCGGGACCACCTCGGCACGGAGCCGTAGTGCAGGCTGGCTATCAGAGCAGGCCCCTTATAGGCTAGGGCTCAGAGAGGCTCAGACACTCCCCTCAGGCCACACAGCCAGGGCAGCACAGCCGGGATGGCACCCAGGCCTGGGGAGCCCCTGGGCCAACAGGGACCCAGCCCCACCCTCGGGAAAGCATGGGTTTCCAGGCAGAAGGCGCGTCGGAGGACAGGAAAGCTTGGAGCAGGCTCTGGAACCTTCCTTCAGCTGGAGATGGGGGGACTGACAGACCAAGGGAGGGGCTCCGGCAAGCACAGGGGGTCCCAGGGCTGAGCCAGGAGCAGTCCCCAGCAGGATCGGGTTTCATCCAGGCCTCTAGGGGCTGCTGGAGGCGAGGGGGGGCTGTGGTCTGGACTCAAGCCATAGGAGGCAGGATGGCCTGCAGCCCATACCCCGAGCAGGGCCCACAGGGCCTGCCCCGGCTCGCTGCAGCCACACAGGGAAGGCACCCAGCACTCAGGCCAGAGCTCAGCACACGCCAGAGCAGGGACGCCGCCCCAGGTGGGCCCAGCAAGAGCAGCCTTGTGCCAGCCGGGCAGAACCATAAATCCGCCAGCCTCCGGCCATGCCGGAGCAAAAGTGTCCCTTCACTCCAAGAGAGAGAGAGAGAGAGAGAGAGAGAGAGAGAGACAACGCAGCCCAGGCACCCTCCCCACAGACAGGGAAACTGAGGCTTAGCAAGGGAGTGGCCACACCACAGCAGAGAGCAGCCACCTGCTCCTGTCCAGGAGAAACTGAGGCACAGAATCACCCCAGTGGGAGAGGAGAGCTCAGAGCGTGACCATTCTGGGGACCCAGGCCTCCCAAAAGCCAGAGCAGACAGCCTGGCTGCCACCAGGCTGGCCCTGTGCCCGTCTGGTCCGCAGGAATGGGACCACCCAGCCTCGACAGCCACCTCCTCCAGCGTGTGGCCCCATTCCTGTGGAGCAGATGGGCACACATGGGCTGTGTGCCTGTCACGCAGAGGGCACGCCAGTGCTGCTCTCCCTTCTGCTCCATGCCAACACAGAGCATGCCAAGGCCAGCACAGCTCAGGCAGGCTGCAGCAGACCCACACGCTAGGGACAGCCACGGCCGGAAGAGGCAGGGCAGTGGCTGCAGGCAGAGACATGAGCCATCCTGGGCTGTTCAGAGCTGAGACTGGCTGGGGGCTCCCTGGCAGGCAAAGGAAAGGGGAAGCAGGCCCTCTTTGCTATTTATGACTCCCACACATAAGGCCCTTCCAGCTGAGCCTGGCAGCTTGAAACTCGCGCCGGGTACGTGTGCGTGCGTGCCCAAAATCCCAAGAGGAGAATGGAGAAGGGATTGCAGCGTGGCCATCCCCCCTGGGGGGTGATTTCTCACTCCGTCTCTCTCTACCTCTCTGGCAAGCACATGTACCCTGTGCCAAAAACAAAACCAAAACACTCTCAAAAAAAATCTACTCAAAACTGGCCCTTTTGGCACAACCTGAGCAGCCCTGGGTTCGGCAGAGGCAAGAAGGACACGGGCCACACTCGTGCCCCTGCCCTGACCAGGCCTCCTCCCAGCCCCTGCCAGCTCAGTGCCCAGACAGTCCAGGCCCGCGAGCAGGTCCCTTCCCAGCTGAGTCACCCCAGCCCCTGCCAGCTGGGAGCCTGCCCAGCTGGCCAGCCCCAGGGAGCACCCACCCTCACACGCCGCCCCTGGCTGACACCTGGGCTCAGCTGGGGAACGATGCTGACGCCAGGCACGCCACCCCGCAGAGCCCCAAGACAGGCACCAGCACCCTGGCACGGAGGTGGTCCCAGCTGCCGCAGGGCTTGGCTCAGCTCCAAACACTGTGAGGCCACAGCCCGCGCCCGGGGCTCAGGGAATCCGACCCCAGGGCCTGAAGCTCTACAGGAGACATCAAGCCCAGGCCCACAGCCCGCCTGAGGGTGATAAACCAGTGCTCCAAAACCACGGTGCTCCTGGAGATGGGGCGCGGCTCAGACGACCCTACACCGTCCTGGCAGGCACAGGCCAGGCACAGGGACAGGCAGGGGGCATCGGCTGCAGGCTCCACGCACAGGAAGCTGGCACCCGGACCAGCCCTGAGCTGCGCGCGGGACAGCGGCGAAGTGCAGGCGGGCCAGGGCGGCAGTTTGGGGCTCCTGGGAGGCAGGAGCATGGACCCTGCCACACCAGCCAGAGGCGCGCCAGGCTAAATGAGAATTGATCATCTTCCCTGCAGGGCGACAATCGATTCAGTGCCGGTATTGACGCTTCAAACGTCACAGGGCCTCTGCTGAGTCCCCACCCCTACGTGACACCTCCAGGCAGTGTCTGGAATGGACTCTACCCCCACAGCAGAGAGCGACCCTTTCGGGGTCACCGTCCAGCCAGGCCCAACACCCCCCCGAGGGCTGGGCATGGCAGGGGTGGCCCC